TAGTAAAATATTTTTTAAACGGAGTAGAAAAAGGGCAGTAGAAGGCTTTATGAAAAAGGCTGATAAGCAGAAAGGACAGCCTATAGCATTTGCTGTAATATTCGGACACTGAGTGCAATCTTCTATTGCTTTTGGTTCCTGGTGACAGCACACCCCGTTTAGAGGTGATGGCATGGTACTCTACTCTTCATCCATCTGCAACTTCTGGGATCAAAGATAATTCTTATTTTTTGATGTACTTACACAACTATTGGATTATCGGAAAAGTCATGACATGACGTATTTTTTCTATGTTTTTCGTTGCAAAAATGCATCATGATTTTTCCGACAACCCAGTATATGGTACTAAGTATTTGAGGGTGGGGGGTTATTTAATATATTTGCTTCCTTCGCTTTACTAGTATTTAGTTGGTCGAGCTTTGGTAGTCTTTACATGTCTGAACACATACCATGTGAAAGTGTGGGAATAGATGATTGTGGTAGAGTGTTAACTGATAAGTGTTTTATGTGTGACCTTTTAGATGGAATTGTCAATGCTTGATCACTTGTAATAATGACTTTTGATTGTTATAGGAGACAGATTGCTTCATTTTGATAAGAGATTTAGCCAGTTTTGTACAACGTGGGTTTTCCTACCCATTCATTTACTTGGCGGTCAAGGAATATTTATTTGGTATCAAATAATTTTAGCAATGTAGTTTAAGTATCTAATGGTATTTCCTGGTTAATAATATAAAAATGAATAAGCCATTTTAAGTATTATATTATAGTCTGGTTGGGAAGATGAGATATGAATCGACTGCAGTTAGTCCTAAGTCACAATGTGACATACTATTGAAGAGGTACAGGTTGAGTGTTTGGAGTCCAGAGGAGGGAGAGAGAACTCCCCTTTGGCTGGATGATCAGAGCAGATTTCAGGAGGAAGTATATCTTTTTTAAGGAATTCCTTCACAGGTGGATTAAGAAAGAGGAAAAGAACACTTATCAGGAGGAGGAAATAGCATAATAACCCAGGTGCAAATATAGGAAAACCAAAGCCTTTGTAATTAAGATTGAAACTGAACTAACATTTTATACCATTCCTAGAGTTAGCTGGGCCTGACCCTGTAGGTCAAGCTTTACGTTGATTTACGTGCTTGAGTTTGAGAGATGTTGGGGTGACACTCCAGACCGACCATATATAAGCCATTCCAGGTATTGATCCATTGATCTAGTTTATCAAGAATTTGCTGATTTTCGATTTTTGTGAATAATACTTTCTTTGTAACATCCCTGTTATTGGGACTAAACATGTTTGTTTTCTCTTGTATTCACATCCTTTAGTTTAATGGATATTGGTAATTAAGTTTTCTTAAAATCTGTGTGAATTGATGCCCAGTTTTTGGTGGACAAAATTGGATTCATTGCTAATGAGCCAGAAAATTATCACTTAATACATGAAGGTTTTATTACCTTTCAGTTCGCCATTTTCAGCCTGTTCAGACAGACAGATACAGTTTCTACTACTATGCAGAGTTGTACTTCCAAGTTCTCTCTGATTAAGAAAAGTTAATGAAGCTTTTGTTGTTCTTAGGTTGTCCTGTTTTTCTTAGCTTCACAAAAGAATTGGACACATGAGATCTCAGTCCCTTTGTAGCAACTTTTGATCTGATTTTATTGTTTATACTTTCTGTGCCTTGTTTAAAAAAATTTTAAACATATATTTTATTCTAATTAAACATAGATTTTCACAATTAGATCTTTAATATACTTATAACATTTTCATTTAAGGTGTGAGGTATGGAATCCACTTTTATTATTCTTCCAGATATGTTACCAGTTGTCTTCGCACCATTAATTAAATAGTATCAGTTTTCCATTGGCTTGCCTTCTGTTGTTCATCAGGTTTCTATGTACGTGTGGGTCTGCTGCTACGTGTGATGGTGTTTCTTTGTTCACAATGATTTCTACAAATATTTCCATGATACACATATTTGTAATATTATACAATGATTTTATATTACTAGAACATGATTTAGTTGCAGCAGAATTTGTCACTGACTTTCAAACATTTAAAAAACTTCATATTATGAAGGAGTTTGAACATGCAGTGTGCATATTTTCATGAAGATATTTATGCCTTCCTAAACTATTTCTGTAGAAAAACAAATTGATATGAAGTTAGTATGTAACTGCTCAGTGTGGCCAGTTATGGCAAGTCATTGCTTGCCGCTCCGGGACCAGCCCTATGGGCTGCTGGCTTGTTGGGGTGTCGGGCGCAGCAGTCAGCTCTGGGGCTTGTTCAGCAACAGGCCTGCGGATCGGGCTCACATGACGCAAACGCCTTGTACAGATTTTTACCACAAAGCCAATTTGTTCACTTTTATTTACTATTTATTTATTTTCTTGTCTTTTACTGTTTCTGTTGATTTTTTTTCCTGTTGACTTCTTTTTTTTTTTTTTTTAAAGATATTTTTTTTAATTGGGGAATTGGGGGGATGGGAACAGTGCTGGGGAATTAGGGAAGGGGAATAGACAAGTTGCTGTCCTTTTGTGTTCTTCAGTCTAGTTGTGGAGGACGTTGCTTCACTGGCCCAAGTTGGCACCATCATTGCGCTCTTCCCAGGTGAGGCAGATCAGTCGCCGGCTTCTGGACGGCCGCTCACGCTGGCTGCTGGCTACATACGGTAGCCCATGGCAACCCACTGCAGCAGGGGCTGCAGCCTACGCCGTCGCCGGCAACTCATGGCAGCCCAGCTCCAGGTTGAGCTGTTGTTCAGCATCTTAGCTGTAGAGGGTGCAGTGTCACTGGCCCTCATATGTGGGATCCGAACCGGGGCCCTCTGGCATCCCAAGCGAGTTCTTAACCATCGCGCCACTCGGCCGGCCCTCCTGTTGACTTCTTAAAATTTCAAATATATATATTTATTTATTCCCAAGTGAACAGATTCTTTTACTTACATTTTATATAAGCTGCTTTCTAATGGCAGGTAGTAATTCATGTTAATCATATATCAACAAAATATCTAGATTCCATTACATGATGGTTTTACATTTACAAATGTACTTAGCACAACCATAGTACATGGCTTCTTATTCTTGTCAAAAGGGATTAGATATTGGGATCTCTCGTACTTTGAGTGCAAAACCTTATACTGTCTACTTAGGAGCAGCGACTTGCCCACTAAAGTGTATTGTCACTGTATTATCTCTTTCATGTTCATGAATGGCCATGTTTTTTTCAAACAAATAGTCTGTGTTGATAACTTAAATGTTACATCTTTATGCTTCAGGTATGTGCACGTGAGGTCATCTAATATACAGTAATGTCTAAAATTACTGATGCTCCAAATATTTATTTTATTTCTTACAATTTGCTCAAAAACATAGCACATGACAGTAAGACTTTTTTTTTTTTAAGCTTTTTTTAATTGGGGAATTGGGGGAGGAACAGCGTTGGGGAATCAGGGAAGTTGCTGTTTTGTTCTTCAGTCTAGTTGTGGAGGACGTCGCTTCACTGGCCCATGTTGGTATGATCATTGTGCTCTTCTTGGGTGAGGCATTCGGTCACCTGTCATTGGTCAGCGGCTCATGGCAGCTCACGCCGGCTGCCAGCCGCTCACGTAGCTCAGGGCAGCTCACTGCAGCCCTGCTGCAGCCTACGAGGTGACTCACAGCAGCCCAGCTCCAGGTTGAGCTGTTGTTCAGCATCTTAGCTGTAGAGGGCGCAGCGTCACTGGCCCTCATGTGGGATCCGAACCGCAGCCCTGCTGCTCAGAGCTGGCACTCCCAAGCGAGCTCTTAACCAGCTGAGCCACTCGGCCAGCCCGACAGTAAGATTTTTTAAAGTTACTTCTTCCTTTATAGAGATGATATTGCTGATCCCCTGATAGGTTGTCTGATCTGAGTGGTTTTTACTATAAATGATTTCATGTAGATTCTATCTATATAGTAAGCAAACCCTATCTATAAACATTTGTAAGATTTCTCTCTGTCTTCTTAACTACCACTGTCTGTTATCACTACATTACTAATGGTTTTGTATTACAATATATCCATTCATAGATCTCTCTCCTACTGAATTTTGAAGCCAGAAACACTTTATTATAAATCTGCATATTACCACGCAGTGCTGGTTTTGTAGTAGGGGCTTAGTAAATGGATAACAAATGAACGAATGTCGTCAAGGTTATAACTGTAGTCATTTGCCAAAAAACGGAGTGGTGCTTAACCAGTGGGTAGGATTCAGACTCTGGTCTTAGTTTTACTAGCATTTGACCAAGTTGAGGCTGATGATGTTGTTATGACATTATACTTCCATGATTGTACAACTGCAGAAAAATGGCCACAGAGGAAATAAAGTGAGTAGTTTACACACAGTGTTTTTGCAAAGCAGCTATTGCTATCCTCAGTGAGGCCAAACTTTTTTCTCAGAAATGACTTTCAGAAAGTCAGAATTGAAATCCTATAATTTCAATGATGGAAAAAATTTAGAAATTATATTTCTCGATACAGAAGTAAAAATTTGCTGTGGGAATTGCAAAAGAAGAAGACATAATAATTCTGGAAATATGCTTTATAATCTTCTTCCAAATAGATCCCCACTAGACTTACCTATTTGTTATGGGAGTGCCCCAGCGGTGACAGTGTTCCAAGCTGCAAGCGTTCGGGGTGTGTGTGTGTGTGTGTGTGTGTGTGGTGCATGTGTGAGTTAGTGCTGAAGATGAGCCTTAGGAAAGCTGAGAAAACCTAAAACAAGGTGCAAAAAGAAAATAGTTCAGGGTTTGTTCTTTAAGCACCATTCTCAAATAGTTGGAAATGCTGATCACGTGGTAGGCAGTGACCTGCTGTGCTGGGTGAAATGGACAAAGCCCCTGTACAAGTTAACGGACTCTCTTAGGGACACACGTGCTCGGGTGTCCTTGTTCAGACGCGAAGGGCTTAAAACTGAGTAAAGTAAAACTTGGGTGGAAGCTTTTTTCTTGTGACCTCTTTTAAAAATTTATTTTATTTCGTTTTAGAAAATGGCTCCAAAGGGTAAATGAAGCTGGAAAAGGACGTAGATGCAGCATTCCATGCGGCCTGTCCGGATGTTTGAGGATAACATTCCAGAGAGAAATTGATCCCCTTGGATTAGGTAATTAGTCATAATGAAGAAAATTAGTCTGAAGACCTTCCGGAAATCTTTCAACTTGAATAAAAGTAAAGAAGAAACGGATTTCATGGTGGTGCAACAGCCCTCACTAGCCAGTGATTTTGGAAAAGACGATTCCTTGTTTGGTAGCTGCTATGGGAAGGATATGGCCAGCTGCGAGCTCAACAGCGAAGATGAAAAAGCGGGGAAAGGCCGCTCCAAAAGCGAGAGCCTCATGGGCACGTTGAAGAGGCGGCTCTCGGCGAAGCAGAAGCACAAGGGCAAGGGCGGCGCGCCGCCGGGCGGCTCTGCCGACGAGGACGCCTTCTCCTCCTCCTCCGCGCCGCTGGCCTTGAAGGACGCGCGGGCTCAGAGGCCGATGCGGTCCGCGTCCCTCCGCACCCACCACTACAGCCCCACGCCGTGGCCCCTGCGCCCCACCAACTCCGAGGAGACGTGCATCAAAATGGAGGTGCGCGTGAAGGCCCTGGTGCACTCCGCCAGCCCCAGCCCGGCGCTGAACGGGGTCCGCAAGGACTTCCACGACCTTCAGCCCGAGAGCGGGTGCCAGGAGCCCGCTCGCTCGCGGAAGAGCCCCGAGTCCCAGAGCGGGGACCTGCGCCTGCACCTCGATGACCATGTGCCTGTCGTCTTCGGACTTATGCCTCAGGACTACATCCAGTACACTGTGCCTTTAGACGCGGGGGTGTTCCCCCTGGAGGGCTCGCGCAGCTACTGCCCGGACAGCTCGTCCCCCATGGAGGTCTCCGCCGTCCCTGCGCCGGTGGGCGGGAGCGCCTTCCCCGAGGACGAGACGCAGGGCGACCAGGACCTCGTGGTGGCCCCCGACATCTTCGTGGACCAGTCGGTGAACGGCTTGTTGATCGGCACCACGGGAGTCATGCTGCAGAGCCCCAGGGCGAGCCGCGAGGACGTCCCCCCACTCTCTCCATTGCTACCTCCAATGCAGACCAACCCGATCCAAAGGAACTTCGGTGGGCTCGCCGGCACAGATGCCCACGTGGCCGAAAGCGTGCGCTGTCATTTGAACTTTGACCCCAACTCTGCCCCTGGGGTGGCAAGAGTTTATGACTCAGTGCAGAGTAGCGGGCCCATGGTTGTGACGAGCCTTACCGAGGAGCTGAAAAAACTGGCGAAGCAAGGATGGTACTGGGGACCGATCACGCGCTGGGAGGCAGAAGGGAAGCTAGCCAGCGTGCCAGATGGTTCTTTCCTTGTGCGCGATAGTTCAGATGACCGCTACCTTTTAAGCTTGAGCTTTCGCTCCCACGGCAAAACACTTCACACTAGAATTGAACATTCAAATGGTAGGTTTAGCTTTTACGAACAGCCGGATGTGGAAGGACACACGTCTATAGTTGATTTAATCGAGCATTCAATCAGGGACTCTGAAAACGGAGCTTTTTGTTACTCCAGGTCCCGGCTGCCTGGGTCTGCGACCTACCCGGTCAGGCTGACCAACCCGGTGTCGCGGTTTATGCAGGTGCGCTCCCTGCAGTACCTGTGTCGCTTCGTTATCCGCCAGTACACCAGAATAGACCTGATTCAGAAACTGCCTCTGCCAAACAAAATGAAGGATTACTTACAGGAGAAGCACTACTGAGCGGTTAGGGGAACCCTGCATCGTGCACTTTGGGAATAAGAAAAAGAGATTGAAATACAGTTTACAAACTTTCATTGCTATCGAAATCTTTTGCTGCCATACTATTTCAGTTTTGTTTGTAAAAGAGGAATCGGTTTGTTTCGGGGCGGGAAATGTCGGCAAGGTGTCTTGGGTTTATTTTGGTTCCTTACAAAGGGAAGTCTTGAGGTTGTAGAAGTGTGAATTCTCTTTCATCGATGTGCAGAATAATCACAATGTGAATTGTCAGATTGTCCTTAACCTCCCTCCCCGTCCTTTGCTGCTATCCACTGTGATTTTATGCATTAAAGCACATTTCATGTGTATTCAACCCGAAGTAAAACTGAATGAAACTTACAGAATGAAAATTGTTATGTCTCTTTAAAGGGCCCATATTTTCAAAGATAGTGTGAAAAAACACAGAATTCACACATACACTGAAAATGATTTTTAGTCTCAACTTTAGGAAGATTTATTTAGAATTATGAATGGACATAATCTTGGGTAATGGAGTGCAGATCTGCCACCTATCTTACAACACTCATTTCTAAATTCTTTTTAAGATTGTGCTGGGTTTTTGTGTTTTTTTGGGGGGTTGTGGAATGTTGAATGTTTTTGTTGCCTTCATTTTCATCTTGTGGTTTGTCTATTTTAATAAATGGCCTTACATTAAAAAATCGTAAAGAGATGTATACCACCAACTTAGCAATTGTTGCCTTTTCTGTCATTGAGCTGTGCTACAAATTGGCATAACGTACAAAGACCTATGAACAAGAAAGAACTATTGTTAAAGAAATGCTAGATGATCGTAGTTTCCTGTGATAGCAATTTTTTTGTGTTATCTGTATTTTCCTTTGGTAAAATGTTTTATCTGTGTTTTGTTTAGCTTAGTTAACATTTTCTTGGGTGAATTTGATGTAGAACTGATTTTCATAAATGGACTAGATTCTCTTGAAACATTAAAGTTTAAAGTTTTAGCTTTAATTTGAATAGAAAGAAAACATTGTTTTACAGTTGGATTATTTTTCTTTTATGTGTTCACTGTTAAGATGTGCTAGATTTGACCCTTTATTCATCCCACTGAAAAAAAACCAAACCCAATGACTTTAGTTGAACAATTGGAAATTGTGGACCACTGTGTAAGAAAAATATTAAAACCATATCAGATATATGGAAGTCTTATTGCCTACCATATATGTTACCATTTAAAAATAGGGTTTCTGTTGGTTTCTTTTTAGTATAGCTAAGTCTTAAGTAAATTGGCATCATTAGTTATTTTATCTTTTTGATTCAATCCTTTTTTTTGGGGGGGGGGTTGTTATCCCCAATAGTTTTTAGTTGTTTTGAAATGTAGTATTTACTCACTGCACAATTCTTTAGTGTAGTATTTTGGGATTGCCCCATCCAGAAAATGTTTCCAGCTATACAGTTTTAAAGGAAAATGTTTGCATTTCAGATGAAATATATAACTTAGGACATTTCTTCCTTTGTCACTCAGTTTTCCTAGCTCTTACCTCCATTTAAGAATAAGAGTAAAGGTCGTAGGTCAAATTTAATGGCTTTTTTATTCACACATATCAGCATCTCTATTTTTTTTCTCTCTTTGTTTTTTTAGGGCCAGAACTGAGAATTAACAAGAAAAGGCACAATGCCGTAATATAATGTTATGGTATTCTGACTTAAAAGGGGGTAAAGGTACTTAATTTTGGTGGAATGTTGACTGTACCTTGTTACAGAGACTCCTCTTTCACTTTCTGATATGTTTTCACCTAATAAGATGGAATATTGAGTATACTGTAATAATATAATTTAAGTATTCACTATAAGCTATTTGGATTAAGAACTATTACAGAGTTGTAAACCTATCAAATTAATGCAAGACATTTAAACTATTTTTTTGCAAAACTATTTATTTTTAAACAATTTAAAATATATCTAGGGTGAGTTAAAAGTCCCTGTGCATCTATATTAGATGGCAGGTATTGTCACAGAGTCACTGTGTATTAATAATGGATGTTGAAATGGCTTCTCCATGTTTCTACATGTACGCTTTGTGAGATCACGGTGCACAGAGGTCTTTGGACTGCCCTGAACCCTGTTTCAGCATGTGGGCGTAGCCTGTCCCCCACGTTTTCCTCATGGTAATGTGTTTAAGATCTAGCCTTTGAGTTTCCAGTTAAGATTATTCTGCTTTTCATCTGAATGTTTTTAAAATTGTGTTTTGTGTGTTTATGGAGGGCAAGTCTTGATACTGTTCTAATTTAGAAAGCCAAATTTATGTGCATTTGTGTATTCGTAATATTACATATTTTAAAGTAAAATGCCCTATTCTAATCCCACTTGAAATTGCTAGGGTCTGATAGTGTATTGAGAAAAATAAAGGTATTTGCTAAGAAATTATTAACAAACAAAGGAGTATTGCGATATTTTCTGCTTTTGCGTAGGGAGAACCGTTTGGCATAGGCAGCACAGCGTAATGTGAAAGATTGGCTTTCTAGGCTACTGAAACAGCCTGGTTATAAATAGAAAGGGGGAAAAAGAGATAACCCTTCATTTTGCAGTTTGGTCTAGATACAATTTGGGTAAATTTCTGGATTATATTGAATGGTGGCTTAGGTAACACGAACAAAACCTGTGAGTGATTTTTAAATAGTTGCTTCTGAAAATCTGAGCTCAAGGCAAGAAAAAGAAGACAGGAAAGTTTTATCCTTTTGCCATAATAAATAAGAGTCATTTATTTTAATCAACTATTTCATCACAAAACCTGATGGAGGCCAGACGTTATTTCCAGGCTTACTAGGACACTATGCATTTTTCTAAAAAGAAAGCATCGAAAGTACTGGAAAAATATCTCCCTCTTTCTCTTTCTAAGGAAACCTGTTCTCTTTCTACTTGGTGCAATAATCTGAAGATGTAGAAGGACAAAAATATATCACAGGAAATGATCATAGAACTAAAAATAGTTTTTAAGGAAACCAGCTACACAGGGCAGCCATCTTGCTATTGAAGAAAATTGTGTGCCAAAAGGCTAACTCATTGGCATACAGGAAATAAAACGAAGCATATATTATAATTTCTGAGCCAGTATTACTGAAACAGGATAAAAGTTACTAAAATCTTACATAGGTTATATGCAGTGTCTTCTGCTAGTGCTACCAGCCTAAGTATTTTTTACCAGTGCTTTTGGAAATGCCAGTGTTAATCATTGTACATTTCACATCGTATACGAGAGAGACTTTATGAATGATTCAAGTAATATATTTTCAATCTTAATGGCTTTTCATCGAATGTGAGGTCTTAATTTGAAAACGAAATCACTACCAGCAATAGACTGTTTCGTTGAAAACTCTAATAAGGAACAATCACCAGTTCCATGAATAACTTTAAAATTCTAAAAGTATTGGTACGCTAGTAATCATACATTTGGTTTCTTTGAATACTTTTTTAATCCTGTAAGGGAGGTTTTTTATAAGCATCCTTTTTATTAGTCACAACATGGCAAATGTGTAGTCGCTGTTTCATCTCTCCCGAGATGAAGAATTCTTAAGAGTTTTGTAATGAGGAGCCATGTTGGGTTAAAGGAATTTTATAGTCGTTGGAGTGCCATGAAATTAATACTTGCAATCCAGATCGCTGTAGTTTACACTTTTTCTGTATGTTTCCAATCAGGTGTGAACCATTTGTACTGAGAACACCGCAGAATGAAGTATCCAAAGTCCATTGATTTTAATACGTGTTTTGGTTTGTAAACAAATTATAGTAATTTGCACATTTTTGAAAATTAATTGTATAAGAATTTATGTATCTGCTTCTAGATACAGTGTGTAAATAAAAATTTCATTCACAAGATCTGCTTTGTAGTCTATTTAATACCCGGATGCAGATTTTATTTAATGTAAGGGTTAACTAGATTATTTCTGGATGTCCCATAATCTGGGCAGAGCCTGGAGGTTAGGAAATTTTAGTAAAAAGGGAAAAGTAAAGTGCTATTCATGGGAGGCATCGAATAAACTAGGAAGCAGCCGATGTTGCTAATATCCTAACGCCTCCCACATAAAGACTGGAGCTAGTTGGCAGAGCCTCGGAACAAAGCTCATTGAAATTAACAGTCATAAAACCTCACTACACGAAGATGAGGCTGAAAAAAGTTTGGATTGTGACATTTTAAAAAAACCTGTCTCTTAGTAGTTTATAGAGCTAGAACCAGGTTATCAAAATGCATTGTGTAGAAGTCATTTAGAAAATCAGAATGATTTCTCATATCCACTGGATTTTAATGATACGCTTTTAAAGTTCTTAAAACATCACATTGGGCGAACCGTTCACTTGAAAATTTTGTTGTTCTACTTTTAAACAGGTCCTTTTTTTAAAATCCTAGCTAATTCAAAGATAAATTTGAAAAAGACCTTGTTCAGAATATATCACAAATTTTGACTTTAGTAGAATCCACATAACGCGGCGTTCTGATGTGCCAGAGTTGGTATCGATGGACAGCGTTAACTTGACTTTTAATGTCCTGCTTAATCTGTCTACTGATGGTGGTGCTAACATGAGATTGTGGGAAGAAGGGTCAGGCCTCAAGAACTGTGTAAAAGGCTGGACTTCACAAACTTACACTGTAGCCAGGTAAACAGATTTGTGTTCTCACCTACCCCTTCTTGGAGCAATGGGGGGCTGTGCTGAGGCTGGTGGGGTCCCTGTCGGGGCTTGTGCTTGTGGATCAGGAAGCCCAGCCCAGAGGAGGGAGAGGGTTTCCAGTATGCACGCGTGCACACATTCAGTCTTCACAAGTGAAGAAAGTTAAAAGGAAATTTAAGTTGCTGAAACTATTTCATTAACAGTAAGAAATCTACAACCTCTTTTCTTTCCTTCGGTCCAGCACTGCTTTTCCTTAGGGATTTCCAACTGAAGCCATTTTAATGAAAAGAAAAAAATGGCAAAGCACAAGGTAAGCATATAAATCAATACTTTTTTTGCTATGTCTGAGGAAGTAGGTTTTTACTGTTCAGAATTTAAAGACAATTGGTGGGATCCAGAAGTTCAGCCAATGACAACTAGAACGGGAAATTGGAACTTGGTTTTTTAGAACAAGTTGAACAAGATACTGTCCCTCCCCCACCCCCATTTCTGCTTTATATACTGGAATACCTACACATTTATTTCTACTCATTTGGGGCTTTTCATGCTATCTCTGCTTGTCATGTGAAGGGAAGATGATTAAATTCAATTCTGCATTTAGCTAAATAATTAATTTGAGTTATTAGCTCAAGGCATCAAAGAGTTCATCTAAGTCCATTAAATATGTAACATTTATCAACTACTAACTTGCCAAACCTCATCATTAATTGATAGACTCTTGGATTTTAACCTTGCTGTTAACCTGTCTCGGAAGGATGTTTCTGTAGGAGCTGGGTGATAGGGCTAGCAGCGGGGGAGTCTATTTCTGCTCTCAGAGGAAGTTAAAATGCACGATGTCTAAAGGTTCAGATAACTAAAAACTCATCAGTAAAATTTTGGGTCAAAGAATTACATGTACTTTTTTTTTTCTTCAGATTTCATTTGCATGTTAGCCTTAAGGTAAAAATCACATTATAATATCATAATGTTTGTTTTTATTTAGAACTTGTGCTAGAAATGAAGATGCTTGGGCCCAGAGGTTGAATATATATACTAAGGTACTCTGTTTGAATTTTAGTATGACTTTCTCAATTGCATATCTCAAACGTAACAGCTTAGGAAATTATATTTTCATCTAAATAGATTACAGGATAAAGTTCTGAAGCCAATTTCCTAATGGCCTATGTCTTTACTGAATCGATTATTGTATGTTTATAGCCCTCATTTTAGCAAATCATCATAGACTGCTTAAATATTCACTGTATAACTCTCTAGTTTCTGTAGAGATCATAAACACCTGGAAAGTAAGTTTATAACATTCATAATATCCAGTGTGTAGGACTTGATTACTTTCTTTAAAATTTTGCTACAATTAGAAATAAATTTTCATTAGCAGGCACATATGCCAGAATTGTTCACAGTAAAGATAAGGCTCATTAGAAGTCTTTCTTCCTTGAATCCTTAATCATGAATCTTTTAAAAAAAAATGCATTTAAAAAAAATCTATAATGTTTATATATTTTAATTCTTCATATGTTGCAAAGGGGACCAAGTTTCTAATATAAATTTAAAAAGGAAAAATAAGACAGGAAAATTGTGATCACTAATCATTATATTTGGGTATTCTAGACTAGACAAATTTACATTTTTGAACATCAGCATCACAAAGAGGCCATTCAACTGCTTTTACCTCTCTGTTCTCTAGGATGGAGGGAGAATGTGACACAGAAGAAATAGCTAAAGCTCTGTGTTTTCGGTCCTAAGGGATGGTAAGTAAAAAGGAGAGTGAGAAAGCCAGGGTGTTTATGTCTCTACCCCTTGGGTCTCACACTTCCAGGAAGAGTTGGTGCTTTAGATTAGCAGTCTTCAAATTGGGTTAAGGGTCTGAAAGTCTAGAGGTTAAGTGCATGCAAACGGTCCTAAAATATGCAGGCATGGATAGTTCAAGAGAATCATTTACCATGTCTACTCAAAGTGATCTGCTCGAGAACATGCTTGTGGTGGCGTCTGGTTAACTGGCTAACTGCCCCCTCACAATGGCCCTTCTTAGCTCCATTGCTACAGGATGCCATATGGACTGCTCTCCGCACCATCCTTACTCAAATCTCAACTCACTTTGGAAAGAGGGGAGAAAGATTTCCAGCCCAGCGTACTATTGGGTTATCGGAAAAGTCATGACGTATTTTTTCCTGTTTTTCGTTGCAAAAATGCATCATGAGTTTTCTGACAACCCAATATATAGAGCCTAACCATTAAACAAATGTGAGGAGGGTAGAGTAAAAATCATTGGTTAAGACATGCAATCTAAAAAGCAAGAAAGCACCTTTTCTCAGCTGCTGGACAATGTGCTCCAACAGAAAGAGGCAGCCCCAAGATTCAGGTGATTCTCAGCATAGGAGGAATGTAAAGGGAATCCTGGAAGTGGTACTAATAGAATTTCTCCAGGTCAGTGGCTACAGTAGATTCAAGAACAATCAATCCAAGTTCCAATGAAGGGAATAAGACCAAAGAGGGATGTTTTCCAGAAAAGAGAAATTGAATCTAGAATTGACTTCCAATTCTGATGAGAACTTCAAAGATGATGAATTATAAAAATTCATTGAAAGAAATGAGACAAATAATGACTATAGTTACATGAGAAAAAATGATAGCATAATATATGTTTTAGTCATAAAAATATTTACCTGCTTACAATGTAAACACCTGGATAATTTAACAAAAAACTGTGATATAACTCTTGGGAGAATGGAGGGATATATGTGTGAACACGTGGGCCCATAGAAGAGTTCAATTATCTTCTTAATGTTAAGGCTTAAACTAAACAAGAACATTGAGAAATATTAGTATATACTGGTAATACAGCAAAAAAAAAAAAAAAGACTTTGGAATTGGGGTGGGGAATAGTGAGTGTGATAGACGTCCCGCCGTTGATGCTCACCGCTCGTCCCCAGAATATGTGAGTATGTTAGGATACGTGGCGAAAGGAGCTTTGCACATGTGATTTAATTAAGGGTTTTGAGATCGGGAGATTGTTCTGGAGTATCTAAGTGGACCCAATCTAATCACATGAACCTTTGACAGCAGATAACCTTTCCTGGCTACGTCAGAGGAGACAAACGTGACATGTGAGGGGCCTGACTGGCCATGTCTGGCTTTGAAGATGAGGGAAGGGGACCATGAGCCTAGGAATGTGAGTGGCCTCTAGAAGCTGAGAACAACCCTCATCAAAGAAACGGCAACTGCAAGGAACTCCAATCTGCCAACAACCCGAATGAACACGGAAGTGGATTCTCCCCCAGAGCCTCCGGAAAGAAACGCGGCCCTGGGGACACGAAGCTTTTACCTTGGCGAGACCTGTGCTGGGCTATGCTCTACGACGCTGTGAGATATAATGATAAATGCATGTGGTTTGAAGCCCCTACGTTTGTGGCATTTGTTACAGCAGCCAGTAGAAAAGTAATACAGTAAGGAAGAGAGACGGCGAGGAAAGATATTAAGCTTTGTGGAACTATTTTACTTTTTACACGAATAAGCGTGTTTTAAATATATGTTTCAAAGCTTTAGTAAAATAAGAATTGATAGCTATTAATTAAAATACTTACATGATTAAAACCGTGTAACTACACTAGCAGTCAGCCTCTTTCTGGCCTCCCTTCCACTAGGCGTATCGCATATGAACTCTGGTGGCCTGTGCGTTCTGTGGAATCGGGGACGGGCCCCCAGTTTCCAGTGGTCTCAGCCTGGGTCTGTATAGTTGTAGTGTTTTCAAGTCATGGCTGCAAAGTTTTGGCACTCCCACTATTCAGGAGGAGGGTTCTGTGCCCTTCCCTTTCAGCTGGGCTAGTTTGTGACTGCTTCCACCGGTAAACAGTAGGAGTGACACTAGGTGACTTCTGGGGCTGGATTATAAGACCATGCTGCTTCTGCCTTGCTCCATCCTGGAGTCCTGAACCACCAGGTAGGATATCTGCCGACATGGACACCGCTGTGCTGGGAGGTCACATGCTCCACTCAGCACACCCAGCTCTGCCGGGTCTTCAGCCACCTTGCCCGGGCATGTGTGCGCAAAGGCATCATGTGCAGGAAGCCATGGGGTGGCCTCCGGGGTAGCCCATCTGCCCGCTGGATGCCAGCAGCATCCTTCACCCTCGCCAACCCACACAGGACAGACGTACCTCCCAGCGGATCCCTACCCAAATTCCAGGCCCACAAAATCATGAGACGGATTTTGTCCTAAGTCAGTAACAATTTAAACTTTGGGGATAGTGTATTATGTGACAATAGATGTCTACAACAATATTTTATTAGAAGGCAACTTTAATGGTGGCTTCCACAGCGACAGCATCGCATTGGTCCTTGCGGATCTCGACGGAAGCTCCAAAGCCCATGAAGCTCAGGTGTCTCCTGGGGGCGGAGGAGGCAGCCGGCAGCCCAGGTCCCCCACCTACAGAAGCCCTCAGCCAGCTCCCCAGGACGGACCACAGCCTTCTCACCCTCAGAACAAGACTCGTCTCCCCAAATGGGTCTCACAAAACAAGTTAGCTCTTTTCTAGGCAAGGAATTCGGAGCTCAAGGACGTTAGTTAAGACGAACTATCTGACTAAGAAATGAGGGAATTTTCTTGTATGTGGATGGCAGGAAAAATTACCACCAATAATCAACTCCCTGCCCCCATAAAACAAGATGTCTTATTCAGTGCTGGTGAATTGGAGTGGAGAGCATGGGTTTAAATTTTACCAATTGAAAAAAATTTATTGGTTATTGCACTATGGCCAGAGGATGTTTTATATTACCTAATTTTTATTATCTAATGAAATGTTCTTAGTGTCCTAAGATACGATGAATTCTTTAAATCTTCCAAATGTTTATATTAAATACATAAATATGTGAATATTTTTTAAAGCTATCTGTTAATTATATTAGTCAATTCTTCTAATAATAAGCAATTATATAGTATTTCCTCTGGGCAAAGCACTGTTCCAGAAAATTTAGATAACTCTTCATCTATTTACTTTTAGTCTATATGTATTTTTATATTTAAAGTGGGTTTCTTATGGACAACATATAGTTGGGTTTTGACCCACTCCAACAATCTCTTAATTAGTGAATTTAGACCATTGATATTCAAAATGATTATTGATATAATTATATTAATATTTACCATATTTGTTACCGTTTTCTATTTGTTGACCTTTTTTTGTTCCTAGTTTTGTCTTCCACTCCTTATCTGACTTTTGTGGTTTTAACTGAACATTGAAAATGATTCCATTTTCTCTCCTTTCTTAGCATAGCAATTATTCTTTTTTCATAGTGATTGCCCTAGAGTTTGCAATATACATTTACAACTAACCCAAGTCCTCATATTAATAACATTACATCATTTCACTGGTAGTATGAGCGTCTTATAAAAACAAAATACTCTTAAATCTTCTCTTCCGTCCCTTGCATCATTGCTTTCATTTATTTCATACACACACACACACACACACACACACACACACACACACACATATATATCAGCATACATAAGCATATGTAATTGAATACATTATTGTTATCAATATTTTGAACAAACCGTTATCTGTTAGGTCAATTAACAATAAGAAAAAGAAAACTTTATTTTACCTTCACAATTCCCTTCTTTGGTTCTCTTTCTTCCCTTACGTATATCTAAGTTTCTGGTTTAGATTATTTTCCTTCTCTCTAAAGAACTCCTTTTAACATTTCTTGCAAGGCTGGTTTGTGGCTAACATTTCCTCAAACTTTGTTTGTCTGAGAAATTCTTTATTTCTTTTTCACTTTTGAAGGATCATTTCTCTGGGTACAGAATTCTAGTTTGGTGGAGCATTTTCTCCCAATACTTTAGATCTGCCTTTTCACTGTCTTCCTGCTTCATGATTTCTGAGGAGAAATAAGGTGTAATTATTATTTTTGTTCCTCTATAGGTAAGGTGTACCCAACCCCCTCAGCTTCTTTCAGGATTTTCTCTTTGTGGTTCTCTGTAGTTTGAAAACAATATGCCTAGGTGTACGTTGTTTTTTGGGGGGGTTTTTTTTTTGGGCATTTGTCCTGCTTGGGGGTCTCTGAGCTTCCTCTGAAAAATTTATCTTTTTTTTTTTTTTTTAAAGATTTTTTTATTGGGGAATTGGGGGGATGGGAACAGTGCTGGGGAATTGGGGAAAGGGGAACAGACAAGTTGCTGTCGTTTTGTTCTTCAATCTAGTTGTGGAGGATGTTGCTTTACTGGCCCAAGTTGGCACCATCATTGCGCTCTTCCCGGGCGAGGCAGATCAGTCGCCGGCTTCTGGACGGCCGCTCACTGCGGCTGCTGGCCGCTCACGCTGGCTGCTGGCCACACACGGTAGCCCATGGCAATCCACTGCCACAGGGACTGCAGCCCACGCCGTCGCTGGCGACTCACGGCAGCCCAGCTCCAGGTTGAGCTGCTGTTCAGCATCTTAGCTGTGGAGGGCAGTGTCACTGGCCCTCATATGTGGGATCTGAACCGGGGCCCTCTGGCGTCCCAAGCGAGTTCTTAACCATCGCGCCACTCGGCCGGCCCTGAAAAACTTATCTTAAATGAGGTAAGAGCCTTTTGAGGCCGGTGCCATCCTTGATCCCACAATAAAGTTGATCGGTAAACTTGAGGCAGTGAGAGGTCAAGTCACGTGGCCAAGCGTTTGCGCCTGGGCAGTGTTATTTATAGTCTAAAGACCTTCTGGTTTATGTAAACTTTATTTCAAGCCACTTCACATACTTGGAAAGAGCTGTAGCATGCCTTATTAACAAATGAAAATAAGATGCTGACTTAACCTCAGTTCACTCTCAAATAGTTCTTAATCTATTTCTAAAATATTTCTTCCTTTTCTGCTATTCCTACTTATTCCATTTTTGCTTACTTGTAGACATTATTGGAAAATCTCTCTGCCTTTTAAGAGCTCTTGTTTATTCCTTTGTATTGTCACTTTCCTTATACTTTTTTTCTCCTTTTCTGTTTTTTTTATTCCAAAGATTTAGGAGTCAAGCAATGACTAGGGGGCCTTAATTACAGTGATTTGAATGAGCTGGTTTGGTTCACCTTTTCCATCTGTGTTCTCTGTGTGTGTCCTGGCCTTGTTCCCGGGAGGTGCAGGCGCTGAGGGACTCACTTGGATCCTGTGCTGCATCATCAGGAAAGTGCCTGAGGGACAGAGGCTAGAGTGGGATTTAAGGTCCTGGAATCCAACCTCGGCTGGTTTACTGGCTGTCTCTACATGGGGCTACCTTTTGGCCGTGGTTTAAAGGTAATTGCTTCCTTTCATGTTCTTTGTATCCCTTTCCCTCTAAAATTGTAGCAATTATCCTTTATCCCTCCTCCCCCCCACCAGGATATTGCAAAGATTAATTATTATTAAAACAAAATGAAATGATCAATCTCTTCAGAGATGTTTGCTCTATAAATACAAGAAACAATTCTCATGATATCCTTGGTGTTACGGCTGGGGCTGTAGTGTGTGTAAGCCCTTTCTCAGTGAACGGGGTGTTTTGAAATTCAGAGAAGTTGAGCGTTTATTCTCAATTGACCTGGACGCAGAGGAGCCCTGGAATTGTTCCAGGAGATTCTTACTCTGCCAGGTAAATATTTCCATGAATGAACAAGCTGTGTTAGACTGGTTATTCATGGGTTTGGCTGTTGCTGTTGCATTGTTCTTGAGTTACCTTTGTCTTATATTTTTATAACAGGGCCCCTATAATTTTGTAGGTCCCAATGCTTAATCTGAGTCAGTATGTGCTTTGTTTAGATGTAGAATACTAGAGCTGGGTGGAACAATCTACCTGTTAAGAAAGGACATTTATTATAAACTTAGTAAGACATTTAGAGGTAGGTGTTTCCAGGTAGGTTGGTGACTTAATGTCTTGCAGGTCCTGTGCTCTTCCTTTCCGTCCACTCCCATATCTGTAGCACGTTTAGTTTTTGTAGTTTTGTTGCTTCATGGTCATCAAATGGTCACCACACCTACAGACAGCAAGTCTTTACACTACCTTACAAGTGCAGAAGCAGGGGTCTGTCAAGATGACAAGAGGAAAGAACTTGCCATCTCCTTTTACCCAGAAACAAAAATCTTTCCCGGAAGTCCCTCCACCGTACATCTGTTTGGGCAGAAGGGGGTCTCATGGCCTCTGAGATGCAAGGGTGGCGGGACAAGGGAACACCTTGTTTTTTCAGTAGCTACTTTGGGAGATGGGCAAGGAGACGGAGGGGGAATCAGCAGCCAAAGCGTTTGTCACACCTGACCAGCTCTGTTTCTTTCTTCCCTTCTACTGCGCTCACAGAAGTCATTGCCTGCCCACATTTTCCGTAGGCTTGGATGGACTTGGACAATCTCACCATCGGGAGAGTTGACAGTTCTCGTCTGGGATGGGAGAATGGGGTTCCGAACTTGGTTACGCTATTTCCGAAAGGTAATCAGTTCCCGTACATGAGTGGATAACGGTGTCTATTTAAATGGCTTTGAAGTTTGCCCAGCAAAGCTCTGCAACACTGTTTAAGCGGAGGAGTAGAAGCAGGAAGTCACACTGACTTTGGTCTGCTTCTTGTCGCTGACGAGTGACGGAGACAGACCATTATTAATACCGCTGATTCTATAAACGAGGGATGAGCAATTAAAAGGGTAATGATTCTAATTCCAGGAACTGGGTGTGAAAAATTTCACTTCTGGGCTCTGAATGACCAAAGGTGCCTAGCCTGTAAGTTTTCTGTCCAAAACGCGTTTGGTGTCGCTGGTCCATTGGAAGCTGGAGTCCCTCTGAAATACATGAATCTCTCCGTGTAAATCATTTCCTCGCTTCTACATTGATTTCTCTGATTTCCTTGCTTTTACATTGAAATTTACGTTTTGCTTGCTCTAAGTAGTTGAAGAATGGTGTGGGGTAACCTTGTAATCAGACAATATACAATGCAATCAACTCGATGTATTAATTCTAGAATAGTTTCCTACTGACAAGAACATAGGAAACATACTGGCATCGTTATCCTGGGCATTTGGTTTCTGTCGCAGTCAATAAGATGTTGAATTCAGTAGCTCATCTTGGAAGAGATGTACGATGAAATGACTATTGTTTAGTTTCACCTTTGTCACCAAAGTGACAGGACCCCAAACCTGTCTTCCTGTTGATGGGTCAGGTGGCTGCAGTGAAGGCCCCAGTACATCTTTCTCCTTTAGCTGAAAACAAAGGGAACAACTTGATGTGAATAAAACCTGAAGAAGTTGGGGAAATGATGGTGTTTTTTGATCCCCACTGTCTACTTGGGATTGATGTAGCTGAGAGTGATGGAAACTTGGACACTACTAAACAAATCAGGGGTTTATTTTTTCTTGCAAAAAGCATGGAGGTGGTCATTTCATGTCCAGGGCAGCGGCCTTCCCCCGGCTAGGCTCATCTGCTTTGCTGCCCCTCATGCATACCTGCTGAGCATCCAAGAATAAAGTCAGTATTCTAGCAATTAAGAAGGAAGATGAAGGAGGAAGGCTAAGGGTATATCAAGTTCGGAACATTTCAGGAACCCCAGTAAACATAGGCCTGGTGGCCCCAATTCATGTGCCCCTGTCACCTTTGGCTGCAAGAGAGTCTGGTGACTATAGGTTTTTCTACCTGGACATGTGGCCATTCCTGTAAACACTGAAATTGTCTGAGTGAGGATGAACTAGGGAAACGATTTTGCCTAAACAACTAGCAGTGGACACCGCACCCCTCATAGGCAGGCCAGTTATGCTGTGTGTTTTGTTTGTTAGCCACTGCTTTCAACATCCATTGCTGTAGTAAATATGTTTAAAAATGATTAGATGTCAGAAATGAATCTACTGTTTTATTTTCTTTTTCAAATAAGCAATATTAGCCTTCTCATTCTTGTTTACTTTTGAGCAAAACTGAACTTTGTTTTCTTGTTTCATGTGCATCGTTTTACAAATATTCCCGTTTTTGGTGAGGGTGTGAAGGGTGGTTTGGATGATAAAGTGCGTGGAGGAAGGCAGAGTCGCTAGATCGTCAGAGGGCTCTTAGCTTCATCCTGGGAGTGCTGTGCTCCCCACTTCAGGGCCTGAGCACCCTGGCTTCCTGTCTGGAACCAGCCCTCAGCCCTGACCCGACCTGGACACGATTTGGGCCTCTGGCTGAGGAACACCTTCGGAGTCACCAGGTGGCCCATTTTGTGCTGTGGGAACACTCCTGCTGGTGTCACAGCCAACAGGTCAACAGTGTATCCAAACAGAGCCAACGAGAGGCTGCATCCCAGCCCGACTGCGTAATCAGCCCAAGGTTCCTATCCTGGGAACCTACAGTGTGACAGGCACTCCAAAGCAGTGGCCTCCTGTGGGGTCAGCCTTTTGCAACTGTGATCATAATTGGAACCTTTTTTTCCTCCTAACTTCCCCACCCCCTATTCTTTCCTTCTTTTTCTGTATTTATGTTTTGTCTTTGAAATCTTATTTAAATTTTCAAGTTGGAAAGACTTAGAGACGTCACCTTGTCTAACTTCCCACCTGTGGGAATCGCAATGGGCCTCAACTCAATTCTTTGTACGGACATCTAAAGACGAGACGCTGTGATCCCATAAGTCAGCCAGTTCTGGATAACGTGTCGGAAAGGTGTTGCTTGTTTTAAGCTGATACCTCCTGTCAGATTTCATAATCTTATACCAACAGTGAAACTCCCCAGTCTTACTTCACAAAATGACAGAAAGGACCACTGCACTGACTGGGCGTTACACTGCTAGGTCTTCCTTTTTATAAAAACTTGGTTGATTCAGAATTGGGTGATAGTTCACAAGTATCGATTAGGAAATTTGGAGGGTACGTATACATGAAGCACAGTAGCAATTCTGTGTAAAGGCTGAGAAATGTGAAAGAGAAACTGACCAGCATTATATGCCATCCTGACGGTCACCTTTCAAATTAAAATGCGGAGGACGTGTCCCTGTAAGGATCTTCAATCATATTCCTCTCCATTTTCAGCAAGACTCTAACAGGGGTTTGTCTTCCTTTCTTCCTCCCTCCTTCCTTTCCTGTTTTCCTCCCCTCTTCCTCCCTTTCTTTCCTTCTGTCTAAGGCTTATAACTGTAAGAATTTCTAGGGGAGTTTAATCAATTTGATTCGGTCTGATGAGAGCAGGCTTGAATTCATCGTGAAGAATGAGGACCCGAGAGTCTGGTCAGATGGGATGGGGGCGATAGAATCGACAGATGGACCAATAATACTTTTGATTGAGTCTGCTGCAGTGACTCAGCCTTTAGTTATTCAGGCCGCTGTTTCGCAATGTTAATGCACAACCATTACTGCCGGGAGGACAGAGCATTTACTAACTTAACACACTGATGTGGAATTAAAGTTGAATTGCAGCAATCCTCAACATTTGCCCCAAGAAATGCATGTTACAGACCTTCCCAAGCAGGATACTCCCAAGGAGGCACCTTGGGTTCTGTGCTGCTCTGTGCAAGCTACCTCTAACTTCGTCCCCTTTTCTTTTCTAAGCAAACGGCCACACACAGGAGTGTGGAATGATAGGGAAAAGAAATACAGGTGCCACATCTGATTTTGAGGAGTGATCGCAACTGATATTAACTCACCATGTAGATGACGGAAGTTGAGGATTATCAAAAAGTTAAAGGCCACCTACAGGGTTCATCAAAGTCTGTTTACTCAGAGTTTTCTGTACAGAGGCTCCGCGACTGACAATGGGGTTTCATCCCCGTTCACCCATGTAAGTTGAAAAAAAATATCGTAAGTCAAAAACGCATTTAACACACCTAAGGTCCTGAACACCAGCGCTGAGCCCAGCCTCTGTCCACGTGCTCGGGACATGTCCATTAGCCCACACTTCCATCTCGAGAGTAACTGCCTTCCTCTTCTCGCCAGAAGCGGGAGACAGCTGCGCGTTTTGTAGACATGATGGGATGTGAAAACACAACACACAATACCCAAGAGACGCTGACAACACCCCCTCAGGCTCGCCTGGCTGGCTGGGAGTGGGGCTCGCAGACACTGCCCAGCATCAGGAGAGAGTATCATACTACACATCACGGGCCTGGGAAAAGATCAAAATTCCAAATTCCAAGTATGGTTTCTCCTGAAGGCGTATTGCTTTTATACCCTCGTAAAGCTGATAAATCATAAGTGGAACCATCCTAAATCGGGGACCATCTGTAGTAAGGGCGTCAGCTACTATTGCAGTCCTTCTGAGAGCCACTCAAAAGACTCGAAAGGACAGTCAGTTTTATAGACTAAAAGGAGGAAGTCTTAAAGCAGGCTTTGATTGATCGGTGTCCCATTTGGGTGGGACTTTCTCTTAGGGTGTGACTTTTGGACTTGCTCTGGAGGTGGTGGGAGTGGGAGGGAGCTTTCTGGCTGCCCTACATGTGACAGTCTTTTGTGGGTCACAGTCAGCAGGCACATAGCATGCAGCCTTCCCAGGCTGGGTGGGCTCATAGGGCTCTCCCTGTTTAAACTGAGAGAATTGTCTGGGTCCTCTGCTTTGGGTTCCAAGTGTAGCATAAGTCAATTCTGCAGAATTGTTGCATTAAACTGTAAGCTGCTTTTTACGCACATACTCAGTGCCCAGTATATGTAAGGAATTAATAAATATGTGTAGAATATATAGCAAATACCGGGGGTGCCAAAAAAATATACAAGTGGACACTTTGGTCAACATTGCTCAAGCAGTGGTTCGCTGTCATCAGAAGTGTCTGGACACTTTGAGCACCTCTTGTAATTGCAGAAGTCAAACGTGACTTGTATTCATCTTTTGTTATCGGTATATATTGAGTATTACAATTTTAATACAGGTGTGTATACATTTTTTGGCTGTGTGTGTGTGTGTGTGTGTGTGTGTGTGTGTGTGTGTGTGTGTGTGTAATTTGCTTATTACTTACTATTATTACTTTTATGCTTTTATGAGGAGGCTCTAAGATTTACTTTGAGTAGCTGGATCATTAGCTAATTGGCCTGATTTTTGCCCTCTATTGCCTTTCTGGGCCTTGATAGTTATATCAGCTAAACAATGGAGTTAGCGAGTTCTCCTCTTGCTCTGCGAATGTGTTCCTGTAAATCGGTGGCTTTAGGTTGTAGAGACGGTTGATATGAGGGAATTTGCTTTGTGCTTCGGCACACAGATGTCTGTCCTCAGCTTTGCATCTGATAGATGAGGAAAGCTCTACCTCATTTTTCAGATGTATACATTTTAGAGTCACGGGGATATTAAGTTTAAATAAATGGTTGCATTTCGGTGTTTGGAACACATTTCCTATGAATAATCATGACTAGAACCCAGCAACAAGTATTTATTGAGTGATTTTTCTAAGCACGGGGCTGTGTGGTTTACAGGCATTATTTCAGTTGCTCTTCAATGGAGCCCTATTTGGGGATGTTATCGCCACCATTTTAAGGGGAAAGGACAGAGTTTGGGCTGTT